TTAAGAGTCACAATTCCTGGGTTTGAGATCCGTCTCTTATACCAATTGTAGGACAATGAAGGGGTCTGGATAGCTCTTTCAGACTCAGTCTTCTCGGCCGAGCATGGTGGCTCACGCCTGTAATCCTGGCATTCTGGGTAGGAGGATTGCTTTGAGCTCAGGAGTTTGAGACCAGCCTGAGATGCCGTCTCTACTAAAAATAGAAGTTAGCCTGGCCAAGGCACCTGCACTGTAGTCCCAGCTGTGTGGGAGGCTGAGGCAGGAGGATCTCTTGAGCCCAGGAGTTTGAGGTTGCAGTTAGCTATGGTGACGCCCCTGCACTCTACCCGGGGCTCAGTCTTCTCATGTGAAAAATAAACGTAATGATGGCAAAAGACCTAAACTTCCTACCCTAGAAAGCTGTTACAAAGATAAAATTAAATTAAGGCATATGAATGTACTCTCCCGGTATCCACTGGTATAGAAATGTTTTTGTTCGATATTTGAACATCAGCACTGCAGGGGTTAAAAATGTACATGAGGAAAGAGGAAGTCCAGAAATTTTTTTTAATAGACTTGAATTGAGGGAAACAATCAGAAACATTCACACTCATGTTTGTAGAGAAAAAACCATTGAATTCTAACTTTTTATGCATATTTTTAATTATCAAAGGGCACTACATTAGAACTTCCATTTGTTCAGAATACCGCAGTAAATGTCGAAAGCCTTTGGAGGGTTTGAACCTAGAGAATGTTGTAATAAATATCTTGCTGTAGCTTTTTTTGGTGTGGGGATGTGTGTATTATCATTGTTTTCATGGAAGTAAGTCATCTTCAATGAATTTGGTACAATATGCATGGTAAATTTTAAAACTATATATTCTGTATGTAGGAGAAAGCTGTCTCCACTAAAAATCGGAATGATCCTGGCCAACGCACCTGCACCTGTAGTCCCAGCTACAGGCCCCCCTTCCCCGTGGTTTTCAGTCTTTGGGACTCAGGAGCGACTGCGGCCAGCCCCAGCCAGCCCCGCTGTCCCAGGGCCCACGCCCAGGGCTCCTGCCTGTTGCCAGGCTCTGCTCTGGGTAGGGCTGGGTAGGGCTGGGTAGGGCGTTCCTCTTTGCTCGGTGCTTTTCCTACCTCGCCCTTCTTCTTCTTCTTCGCTCTACTGGTCTCCCAATCCTGGCAACTTTTTCTAATACAATTTCCTCTTCTTCGTGTGGCTGCATTCTGTCCCCATCACAAACCATTCCTGGCCTCCCAAACACTACTCCGATTATTCCTCTCTGTGCTCGCCCTGAAAGAGCCCTGCATTCAAAGCCGGCTCAGCCCAGTTAACTTTTTACCCCACTTTCCTATCATTCCGTATGTGAATCCCAAATTGCAGATTGCTCATCCCACCATCTCACAGACACGGCCTCTTCTCTCCTACCTCCGCCGCGTGGCTCAGTCGCTGGCCCCCACCTGGAGTACCCGCCTCGCGCCCACCTGCTGAAATCCCAGCCACCGCAGCTAGACTGCCTGCTGTTTGCTGGCTTCATTTCCCCCCAGTAAGCACACAGAATTTCACCTTCCGCCCTGTGGAGCTAAGCATGGCCGCGTGACTCGTTTTGGTCCAAGTGTGTCACTTCTGGGTGGAAGTGTTTGGGAGCCAGGAAGTGTCTGTCCATCCCTGGCTTCCTTTGCCCCAGCGGCGACTATAGAAAAGCAAGCCCGGGTGTGGAAGTGCCGGAAGGACCAGCAGCCTGTCTCCCCAACACCCGCGGAAGAGCCTGCCTGGAGGGTCGCTGTCTTGCAGGGGGATTTGCATTTTGCAGTTTATAGGAAATAATTTTATTGTGTTAAGCCACTGAAATTTGGAGGTTGCTTATTACCGAAAAATAACTTGGCAGACCTGAACTCAAATACCATGGACTTAAGGCCCAGCTGAAACACCTGTCTGCCACTGCAGAGCTTCCCAGCACCCACAGCTGGGGGGCTCCTCCTGCCCCCTGGCATCCTGTCCATTCCTGTTTGGCAGCCACACCCCAGCAGGCTGGGACCACCAGGGGACTAGAGTGGCACTGACTAGAGTTTGAATGTGGAACTGCCACAGGCCATTTACGCCAAGTATCTTTCTGAAACTCGAAGTTTTTTAAAGACCAGTCAAGTGCAGTATCAAGAAGGGGAAAGAGTGGGACCAGGAACCCCTCTGTAACTGAGGCTGAGCGGTCAGCGGAGAGAACTCGCTCCCTTCCAGCCAGCCCAAAACTCAGGTTTTTTACCTAAATAATGGGCATGATGCCTCAGAATTGTGAAAGAAAATTGAACTACAATACTGCAGTAATATACACGCAGTGCTCACTAAATATCGAAACCTGCACTGTCTATATGTTTTACTCTTCTTGGTATAAAAAAACTTATGTGACTTAAAGTAATTTCGGAAAATAAGATTTTATTTTTATTTTTCTGTGATTACAAGACTGCACAGACAAATTTCTCTGCCAAGGTTTTCACCAAAGTATAATCTCTTAAAGTTTAACAGGTACATATTTATTTTTAAGATAATTAGTAAGGAAAAAAACAATGTAAATAGTTTGGTTAAATGAGTACATAGTAATGCTCTTGTCTTTTTAAAAATAAATTTTTAAATTGCGTGTTCACAAGAAAAATCAACTTTAAAACAACCAATT